TTGTTTCTTGTTCTCCTGAGTTTGTACCCTATGGTTGAATGCACTTATTGTACGTCGCTTTGGATAAAAGCGTCAGCTAAATGACATGTAATGTAATGTAATATTAATTTCTGCTTTTTCAGCAAATCTATTAATTCCTTTCAGCTTCTCCCATTTCTGTATTTTCAGCAATTTCAAATTAATTTCAGCTTTTCTAATATCTGTAATTTCAGCAAATGTATTAAAATTCCCTTCAACTTTCTGTAATTTCAGCAACAGTTCATTTCAGCTTTCAGCTTTTAGCATTCCAACACATTTTCAGCAGGAAATTTTCTAGTTCATGATATCCTCTATCATTAGAAACCTGCAAATAAATGATGCCACACCAATACAAAATTCATGTTTTGACACTTGATGTAAAAAAAAAATAAAATAAAATAAAAAAAAAAACACACCCCAAAGTTGTAATGTAACATGTAATGTACTATTTTGTTTTTTAAAAATCAATGGGGAATTTCTGAGAATCACAACCGCGATTCCTGGCTACCTTGGACAAGCACCACAGCAAGCTGATTGAGACAATCAAACGAGGGAAGAGTTGTCAGAATTAAGTCCTGATCAATTGTGTTCATTTTCATAACATGTTCCCTTGAGGAGTTAGATTAAATGTTGGAAGATATACTGCACGTTATCTATTGATTGTGAGAGGGCTTTTAACTGGTTTGCAACACTGCATCAGTATAACTGTGCATAAGCAGTACACTGCATGAACCAGTACACTGCATTAACCCGTATACTTCCCAGTAGTAGCTGAAAGCCTCTGTAGATCTCAGTTACTGTAACTCCAAGTACCTATTTGTATATTGTACAGTGTCTGCATTTTTTTGTAAAGGTGGCAAAATTGGACAGTATAACATTTTTCTGTGTGCATTCTCCTCAAGGCTCTACAGTGTTTGCACTGAGGTGAATCTGAGTGTCTGCTGAAGTTCATCATTCTGTACCTCGGGGAAGATGAGTAAACCTTTTAAAGAGAATTTTCCTGTCTTTATTTCTATTATGTAAACAAGATCAAACATTGACTGTGACAAAATGTTTTGAGTTTCATCTTGTATGGACATTCTACTTTTCTATCACAGAAAATACTGTTTGTTGTGACATTTGAAATAAAGCAAGATATAGAATTGTATTGGACAACATTAAGTGATGTCTTTGCATGTCAGAAGAACATTTATAAAATAAGGTATAATTATAAATTTTATTCTTGATGAAACCTGATAAATTTACCTGTAAGAAAATTATAAATTTTAGTTTGTACTGAATGAGAAATCTGACTTGATGAAAGCTAATAAATTTGCCTGTAACAAAATTAGGGCATATTAACTACACTAAAGTAAAAACCTTCACTTCGATGGAATAATAAATACTAGTTTTTTCCAAAATGAAAAAATCAAGTGGTAACAAAGCTAAAATAGTGTACGGTTGTATGTAACAGCCGTTGCTATTGTGGGCACCTTTCTGAGGACCTCTGTTCCGTCAATGACTATTTTAATGTCCGCGTTTCCACTGACGATTGCCATGGCTGCTTCATTTTCCTGCATATCCTGCACACACTAAAAACAAACAAATGAGGACAATTAGAAAGAGCATTTCCTGAAGACAATGCATGTCAATGCTGAACACCATTGTTTAATCAAAGTTGGTATATAGGTATTGTTTGTGTTAGTGAGGGAGATGCCCTTACCTGGCATTCTTTAATGAGGTGATGAACAGGTTCACCCAGGTACATCAAAGATTAGACGATGCACTCGATTCTAATTGTGATGTCCACAGTCTGTGCTTTTATTAATACCTATTCTTCCTCAAACACCAACTATTCAACTATGGATCCCATTGAGAACCACTTCATGAATAGCTACCTCATCTAAAACCTGCAACATTGCCTTTGTCAGCTCTTCCACACGTCCTCCCTTGCTCCTGATGACCTCCAGCAGTTTTGACGTGTGCTTGTCCAACTGCGCTAAGAACTTTGTCTCCAAGGGTACTGTTGTCACCCGCATGAACTCAGCATTAAACTGGAGAAACAATAACAGAGCATGCAGAAAGAACTTTTAAAGTGTATTAAATAAATTCTCTTCTGAAAAGAGTTTTTAAGGTTCAAAAATCATCTTTCATGAATGTAATTAATGGCATTGCATTTGCTTAGATGAGTCAGCAGAGCTTTCCATGTTTTGCAAGTGCATGGGCAATTCTCATGAGTACAGGGATAAGCACGGCCCCGGCCATAATGATGATGATCAAGTTTATAATGTTTCAAAAGTTCAGATCTTTTTGAATATGAATTCTCACAGGCTTAACATTTCCACATACATGGATAACTGAGGAAAAATAAAAAGGCAGAGGAAAGGACGGTTTTAGGAGAGTGATTCTAAATTATCACAAATACCCTCATGATATTGTACTCAGAAATTACTACAATAAGATGAGGGACTTCCAAACTGGTGGTTACACAGCAGGAACACCGTGGATCTTGTGGCAGCTCTCCTTAAATTAAGAGAGAAAAGAACGTTTTATTTGTTGGATATTCTCAATGTTACATGAACTATATCCAATACAGTTTAAAATTGACAAAACATTATTATGCCTATGAAAATACCTGACAAAACAAAATGAGAAAATACAGAACAGTAAACAATAACACAAACACAGCACAATAGCACAGTAAACACCACAGTACCAGTAATATGTATTCCACTATCCATAAGTCACAAGAACATTTGCTCCAAAATAAAATAGCTTATCTACCTTTCTCAATCACCATCCACTCTCCCCTTTAGGGTTGTCACGATACCAAAAATGCAGTAGTCGGTACCAATACCAGTGAAATAACACCTCGATACCACGGAAACATATATTCTTTACCCGGTAATATTTGTAAATTAAAAAATATGCTTTTCCTGCACGTCCTCTCCGTTTGTTTGCATGTATCAGCTGTTTCAACACGGGCTAAGAAGCAGCTGGAGCCAGATCAGCCTGACCAGACAATCAGACAACCGACGAGCGTGAAAGGGAAGCCGCACTTCTGTAGAGATGCTACACCGGGAGTTTTAACTAACGTGCTAACGCTGTGTATAGTGTTAGCTAGCTAGTTAGCTACGTGCGAACGCCATATATACGCGTTTCTGAGTTTTCTAATTGTAAACGTCGACTGGAAAACTGAAGCGTATATTACCGCCATCAGTTCTAGAATAGGCGCAGCGTCGATGCCACACGGTGCTTCAATTTTTTATATTTTAGTATCGAAAGGTACCGTAAGTATCGGTTCTCGTGACATCCCTACTCCCCTTATCCCACTTTCTCCTGCCTGTCTGCTCCTACCTCACTTGCCTCCCTCCCTGGCGAACCCCCTCCCCCCAGCGCCAATCTTAGCCCAACGATTAATTGCCCACAATGCATGAACTTAAGACAGACTCTTTGTCTGGGAGCTAAAATGTACACCCAGTCATCTTTAAAAATCGGAATGACTTACCTTAACGTTACCAAAATTCCAGAGGGTCTGATATTTTTCACAAGATCTTCTGCAATGGAAGATTGAGTTGGAAATAGGTTGCCGCCAGAACTTTTAAAGAATGCGCATGCGCGCATCACTCAGTCTAATAATAATGCTTTGATTAAAATGAAAAAAATCAGTTTAGTGCCTCGCTGTCAGTTTACATTGTAGTAAAAAAAAAAGATTAAACCATAAACATAAATAAAAACGTTTATTTTAATTGTGCAATGTATTTTTTTTATCCATTGGAATGAAAAAACATTCAGTGTAAGTGGGGTTAAACACTAAGCATGGTTATTAAGTTACATGAACTTATTTTTTTTGTAGTTGTACTACTTGATTTAGTACTGCACACTTAAAATACCCAAGCTTTTCTAACTCACTAATCTTAAGATTACTTTGCTTACATTTTTTGTGGAAAACAAGTTGCATATTTTTTTAAGTAAGGTCGACTAATTAGACTTTACAGTGCACTGTCACTTTAAAATGCCCTTGAACGCGTTCGTTTTTTTTTTTTTAACAAATGATCCAAACAGCAAATCAAAAAGACGCCGTAAATCATGTTTTTAAAGTGCAATAGGTTCTGTTTTTCCTCTCAATAACAATTTTCTCCTGCTTAGTGTGTAACAAAACGGATGTTTGTTTATAACTGCCTATTGCGGTGTGAAGTATGTGAAAAAGAGGAAAGAAGATTAAGGTCAATAAAAAACTAATGATAACTGCGGTCTCAGGATTGTTAATAACCGCAGTTCTGATCGGTCAAGAATAGGCATCCTTTTATATGTTAGGGTTAGGGTTAACCCTGTATACACACTGTATAAGCGTTACTGTAAATACCAGGGACTTCAAGTAACAACGGAAACACTGTTACTTGAAATGGTGGGAGGGAGAAAAGATTGCAGCACACCAGCCAGGTGTCCTGTTTCAGTGTATGGTCCACACAGAAACACAGAATCTTAAATACTATAATAATAATGTGTATCTAGGACTCTTTCCATGCAACTCAAAGTACTTACCATCGGCTAAGTATGTATGCTCCAAAGGAACTGCAGTATGGGCCTGAAGAGAAACGGAGAAAGAGATTAATAAAATAATGAACGATTTGTTTTACACAAGGGAGACAGTGAATGTGGAGACACAAAGACAGGCCAACCTACTATACTGACACAATTCTGAGCAATCATCAGTCAACTGAACTTTTTTTTATTTATTAGACGGGGGCATCATTAATATACAATATCTTCAGTGGTGCTGTGCTCGGTCTTGTTTAGAATTCTTTTGTCTCTTGTCCTTGGCAATGGGAACAGATGGGTGACGCAGGTGGAATAATAAGTTAGAGGTAAACAACCCCAAACTAGTCCAGGCAAACTCCAACGGCCTTAAAAAGATGTCTGTGCTCCCAAAAAAGGTAGACATTGTTTATAAAATGTTTTGAGTGGCCAATACATGCGGTTCACTTTGTTCAGTGCAAACAGCCTGCTGAGTCTTTCATCTCCTTCTCTGACTGGTGGGAGACTGATAAAAACCTTAGCAATAAATCAAGAAAGTCTTGCTTCAGAACTTCTGACTCGTTTCACAAAAATAGAGTTTAGAGTTTCACAAGGTAGAAATTTCAAATGAAAATAGACATTTAAACATGTCGTACCTCTCTCCATTTCCTCTGTTAATGTGCACTGCAGTGTTAATCCCCTCCCAATGCTCAAAAAAAGAAAAGAAATGCCATTAACTTTGTGGGTATAACTATAAATAGACAAAACATCTAGTGATGTCTGTGGGTTCCAAATTTTTGAAATATTAAAAGTGACAACTTAATTTACAATTATGTTACTCTGTGCAACTTTTAGCCCCTTCAAAATGGCGGACGTATAGAAATGTATTTTACATTACACCCAGGGCTGTAGTGGAGGGTAAACGCCGTTTACACACCGCTAGAATTTTGGAAATAGCGTTTACGCACCTATAAATAGCGTTTACGCACCTCTAAGTTCCCTGCGCCTTGTATTCTTCCGTTGGAATAATCCGAAATAAACTTGGTTTAATTTTAAAACAGCTAAGACTACGTTTCCTATTGTTGAACATATAAACGCCGTAGTCTGAATAATTTTCATCTGCGCTGTATTATGGTCTGTGACCATCCAATCAGTGCCTTGCGGCTGCAGCAGCGACACCAATCAGGATCCAGGAGGTGTGTAAACACATACACGTTGTGGATCAGCCCAGTGGTCCCCAACCTTTTTTACCTCACGGACCGGTTTCATGTCAGACAATATTTCGCGGACCGGTCGAGAAGGTCCGAGGGGGGGAGGGTAGTAGTCGTTGCGGGCGGAACGACCGGGGGGGGGGGTAGTAGTCGCGCGCTCTGTGTTCGCTGGTCGTGCAGGGTAGGACAAGAAAAACGCCTGGTGACGCGTAGATTAGAAAACAAGTCAGTTCTCAATGTGAAAAAAAACATGCTGTATAGGCTATTTATGATGACATAGGTACTTCCTTTAACTTATGTTGTCAGTGTAATTGACAGGCTGCTTAACTAGTGTTCTCAGCCCCACAACTCTTAAATTCAACATATTTTTTCAGGCAGTGATAGGACAGGCAATGATGCAGAGAGCACAGGGAGAGGAGAAATACCAGGTCAAATAGAGAGAGGAGAAGCACAGCGGAGCCATGGCTCCTCTGTGCAAGGCAGGACCTGGCGTGGAGGACAAGGAGGCCCTCTGGGCACTACTGTAAAAAGGAGCCTCCGTATGTAGATAGTTCTAAATCTGCAATTGTGTTGTTTTGTTGACATACTTTTCTTTACTGTTTTCTTAAGTTTAATAAACTGCTAACACATTTATTCATTGTCATTGTTTGTATATGACTTTTACTGATAACATAATGCAATATAGCCAGGAAAGCCTTAAAGAGTCGCGACGCTTTGTGTTGCGTTGCTTCGCATCGCGTCGAGGTCTGTATGATCACAAAATTCAGAGTTTACCCACCTCTAATTTTACCACTACAGCACTGATTACACCGTTCACCTGATTTGGACGTATAAATGCTCAAATTGAAACTGAAAGTCTGCACTCAAAGTACATCTTCATTGTTTAATTTAAATTCTATTGTGGTTGTGTACAGCCCAAATAATAAACTGTTTCAATGTTCAAATATTTATGGACTCTATTGTAGATACAGAGGTGGTCGTCAGTGTGTTGTAATGAGAAATATGGGATGGAATTATGGTTTGATACCATCTGTGTATGAAGGTCGGGCATCAGGGGACTCAAGACAGAAGTGTTAAGAACGTAGTTTATTTTGGGATGAGAAGGTTTGAAATTAGACAAAAGAAGTAGCGTAGGGCTTGAGACCCCATTTGGGAGGAAACGAAAACTTCTTTTTTTATATATTCTGTCAACTGCACATGTAGTTTGTTTTGGAAAGGTTTATTCTAATAAATAGCAGGCTGGAAATTGTTTTTAGTCAACTAATCTGACACCAAAATAGGGGTTGAACCTGTGTCTTATTATTAAAACACATTTGATTGTATCGTATCGGGTCTATTATTGAGCAGTTTCTTCTTATGTTGGTGTTAAAGTAAAACTCATGACATGTTCTCTTAATCTTCACAAGCTCAGGGTTCTTACCATCTCCCAGGCAGCAGGGTCATGTTTGAAGAGCGAGTGTGTGAGCTCCACTGACACTCGCTTCCTGTAGTCTGAACTTTTGTCCTCCGAAATTCGGAAAAGCACTGCTGCAGCATAGGTGGCTGGAGAGACAGCAAGAAGGCAGTAAGTTATGTGTTTATGTGAATATGAAGAGGCCAAACACTAATTTCTCCTCTCTGATGCACCAAAAGGAATCTTGTTTGTCAGTTTTAGTTACTGTAGGATATTTGAAACAAATTGACGACCCTGGTCATATAATTAATAAAAATGCATATAGTGTACACCAGAATACAGCCACAATTCTGAAACTGTGTAATCAATAAAGTAATGACAATATTGTAAAACCACTGTAATTCTTCAACTGTAATAGAATAAAACCAATGTACAGTTATGATTGTATTTGATGTAATGTAATCAACTGGAATGCATGCATGTAATACTTGCACAACAACTGATATTGACTGAGGGTCATTCGAAACGTGGATACTAACTTTCACACCTTTAAGCATTGTTAATAATACTAATACATTTAATTTGTAATGCACTTTATATTTAAGAAAATCCCAAAGTGCTACATGATAAAACTGTTAAGTGCTAACAATAAAAACACAGTTTAAAAACAAAAACAAAACGAGTTCACTAAAAAGCTCTCCCAAAAAGGTGGGTTTTTAGGCCACGTTTAAAAGCATCCACAGTCTGTGGTGTCCTCAGGTGGTCAGGGAGAGCATTCCACAGACTGGGAGGTGAGGAGTTCCTTGAGGTAGGGGGGGGCTTCACCATGGATGCACTGGTGGGTAAGGAAGGAGACCTTGTAGTCAACCCTCAGTGAGACAGGAAGCCAGTGGAGTGATATGAGGATGGGGGTGATGTGCTCATGTTTGCGCACCCTCAACAGGATCCTACCAGCGCTGTTCTGTATATACTTCAATTTCTGGAGGCTTTTCTCAGGGATCCCGGTGAGGAGTGCATTGCAATAGACCAGCCTGGAGGAGACAAAAGCGTGGACAAGCTTTTCTGCATCTGCAGGAGTGAGTGTGGGACGGAGTTTGGCGATGTTCCTGAGGTGGAAGAAGGAGGTCTTGCAGAGATGTTTGATGTGAGCCTCAAAGGTCAGATGGGAGTCCATTTTAACACCTAGGTTGGTGACTGATGTTGAAAGTGGAATATTTTGGCAGAAGGTGGAGTGCCGACTAAGATGGCTTCAGTCTTGGAGCTGTTTAGCTGCAGAAGGTTTTGCTTCATCCACGCCTTTATCTCCTCCAGGCAGGCGGTCAGAGTGGATGATGGCAGGGCAGCAGAGGGGGTTGGGTTTGTCCTGAGGTAGAGTTGAGTGTTATCAGCATAGCAGTGTAATGAAATTGCATGCCGGCTGATCACATGGCCAAGGGGGAGCATGTAGATAATGAGTAGTTGGCAAAGACTTCTGGGTCTTGGGTGGGTTTTTTGAGAAATGGCTTCAGTGTTGATGGAACATCCTCAACTTCTCGCTCTGAGATGGCAAAAAAACAGCTGAGAGGTTGGAAATACCAGGCTGTGGGTCAGCAGTCGGGACAGGCAGTGTGGAGAAACTGGATAGCAGGGAGCGGATGGTGTCTACTTTTTTTCTGAAAAAAGTGATGAAATTGTTGCACCTCTCATCTGTGGTTTCTGAATGACAGTGAGTTTGCGGCTTAAGGATGTCATTTATGGTAGAGAAAAGTCGCTTGGAGGATGCCAGGGCTGTTATTGATAATGTTGGAATAGAACTGTGAACATGCATCTCTCAAGGACCTTGAATAGGACTTCTGATGTTCTCGGTAGGCCTGTCTATGAACAGAGAGTCCTGAGGCCTTGAGGCGCCGCTCAAGGACACGCCCAGCTGTTTTCATTTGCCGGAGTTCGTAGGTGTACCAGGGGGCTGAGCGTAAGAAGCTGACATTTCTAGTTTTGACAGGGGCGTGGAGATCTAGGAGACTGCTCAGTGATCATGTTATCTCTGAGATGAAAGCTAAGTTGGGTTTGGGGGGCCGGTAGACGAGGACCATCGTCATGGGGAAGGGGGGTTTACATTTGAATGCTAGGCATTCAAATGAGGACAGTGTAGGCAGGGGGAGAGGGGACAGTTCCAAGTTCTGTCGGTGGATGACAGCTAGGCCGCCACCACGATCAGTGCTGTGGGCTCTCTCCAGATAGCTGTAACCGGGGGGGACAGACTTCATTAAGTGCCGATTAAACCCCTGGCTGGTGCCATGTTTCTGTCAGGCACATGAAGTCTAATCCCTTGTCCATGATGTGATCTTGTATGAAGGATGCTTTATTTGTGAGGGATTGCGTATTGAAAAGTTCTATTTTGACTGTTGATGCTGTGGTGGATCTCTGTAGAGGCCGTAGTACACTGGAATCCATTACACGTTTTCTGACTTGCTTGGTGTAGCTAGATCTCGCGGTGTTTCCCAAGCTGCTCAATTGAGTGTGCAGAGATCTCGCGATGTTTCCCGTGTTGCTAGCACCGAGAGCGACACTGCTCTGATGACGCGGCACACATGCGACAGTGGTCCAGATGGATGGAATGTTTGAAGCAGGCTGGCCAGGCTGATGGTAAACAAACTTTCGACGGGAACTTCTGTGGATGTAACGTGGACGACGATGAATTCCAAGTTCTTTGATGGCTGCAATGCACGTTGGAATGGAGCGGTTGTTGAGAGTTAGCAGCTGTGGGATAGAGTACTTGAGCTTCATGCCGGTCGCCGAAGGTGTTAGCCTAGAGCTAGCTGTTAGCCAAAACACAGAGATGGAAGACTTGTCTGGCACAGGGAGAAGATGGTCCGTATTATGGCAGTGGGGTGCACGAGGCACGGAGGACTGGCTGGAGGCAGCTGACAGCTAGCTACCAACTGCAGAGGTATCGGCTCGAGGCAAAACCGGACCGGGACAGCTAGATGGCTGCCCCAGGAGAAAAGTTAAACCTTGTAGCAGCGCTGAAACGATGGAGAAATCCGGGTGTTCACCGCTGACAGCGGGAGGTGGCCAACAATCCGCTGATGTTGGAGGAGATGTCAGTAGGTGAGTAAAACCTTCAATTCCGTATCAATCCGTGTAAAAACCGAGAAATACTGTTCAGAACAAGAAAACGAGAAAAACGGCAGAGAAGCGGCGAACAGCAAACGCCAGCGTACTCTCTCTCTGTCATATTACAGCCACTCACAGGTAATCTTGGAGCGTAATGCACAAAAACAGGGTGATTTGGGACCATGTGTTATATTGTTATACATTTTTAATACCTGTAGGAACCATTGTTCTCGAGTTTGCTGGTGGAGACAACAGACAGGCACTAGGGATGGTCAAAAGGACTGACCTGGGGCCTGTTGGTTGCTGAGAGCGGCTCTTCAGCTGAGATCTTCTTTTTGCCACAACACCATCTCTTTTATTAAGTACATTTGATAGAACCTTTTGATCTGCGATGACCTCTGTCCGTCCGGCGTTTCTTCATTTTTGAGTACAACATTACCAAATTTAAATCGTACATTTGAGTGTGTTTTGTTTATAATCCTGAATGAGGACATACCAAAATACCCAAATCCCATACTAGGTGTGTGCAAGAGGAGTAGGATGGGGCTAATAATGTGATATATTAGCCAGGAGACTTCTGATTGTTCCTTGAGTGAAATAAGAATCCAAATGACATTCAAAATTATTTTGTCATGTAACTTCTGTACTTCCAGAACGGCCCTTTTCTGTAGTTATCTTAACACAAAAAACATCTATCCCTATAAATGTATTTCTGTTGCCTTAACGTAACTAGGTATGTTGTGAAGATTACGTTTATCGAGGAAATACTTTATCTACTGCCTTTCTAACACTGCCTTTTCTTTTTGTCTCTAATGGAGCAAACACTTCAATGGAGGTTTAAGTCACATGTTTAATATAGGCTGTGATCTTTTGTAAGTATGTTTCCAATGAACAGGAGGGAACGCTCAGTGTTTTAGAAGAAAGGCTAGCTCCATCCAATACAGGAGAAGCCTTTGAAGCAGGAACATAAAAAGAAACTTACCTATTCCCTCGTTGTTGGAATGCAGCAGTTCCATAAGCGGTGCGGAAGCTCCCTCTGCATCAATGAGCTCTGCAGACTGTTTGTCCAGGGCCAGCTCACAGAGGATGCCCGCTGATACTCTCTTCACGTTCTCCACGTACGAGTATAGTAGCTGGACACACACACACATACACACAAATATTGAACTGATCTCAGACTTGCTGTGTATTTTTAATACAGGTTATATGTTTAGTTTTTTTCTGTCAAGAAATTTGGTACTTCCTCTCCATTATTTTGATTTCTACTGGTGGTGTGCTCTCACTTCCTATATTAGCCTCTCTGGAACTTTAATATGGCTGTAATTCTGTTATCATCCTTAACAGAAAATCCAACATGTTGATGAAATGGTCTTACTGATCTTAAATGATGTGGTCAGTCAGTAAGTGCAATCAGTAAGACCTGCATGTGTTTTTTTATGAAGATGAAAATGTTACACATGGGTAAGTGGAGGCAGGACTTAAACGCAGAGTTGAAATTCAAAAAAGGGCAAACCGCAGACAGAACCAGGAAGAGGCAAGACACTCAGGGTAGGACATTCAGGATTGAACATTCAATGAGGCGCCAAAGAACACATGACACACAGGGCTTAAATACACTGGGAAGGTGCAGGTGATTGGGCACAGGTGGAAATAATCAGACAATCACAGGGGATGACAGGACAAGGCAGGAAGTGAAGTTAACCCAGGGACACAAGGGGCAGGAAACTACAACATAAAACAGGAAACAAACCCAAACCGTGACAGAAAAGACATGGGGAATACTGTCGGAAAATAGCTGCGGCAGACTAAGAAGAGGGGAAAAAGGAATGATGGTTTGAAGAAGTTACTATTGAGATCTGTAGTTTAAACATGATTCAAAAAGGTATTTATTAGCTCAGACTTGTAAGTAGTACAAACAATCATCATCTTCCATATCAACTCTGCATATTGGTTGTTTTAATAATATACAAGCTCTATAAAATATTAGTTATTCTTTTTAAAATAAGTACATCCCACTCCAACCTATCAATACTATTTTATAATTCTATTTTTCTATTTTTACAAGTTGTTTGCAATTGTTATCTTCTGCAGCGGTTATTCTTAAGGCGCGTTCACAGCAAATGCGAAGCGAATTATCAGTGCCACAAGATCACATACAGCTGTGCAGCGATGAGACTGGAGTGAGTTTGTCGCGTAGAATCTGTTGCAAAGTCGTGTGAATTCAGATGAAGTGGGACAAAATTGGATCAAGTGGCCGAACCCACCAAGAGCACGAGGTGAAATGTTTCAACTTTTGCAGAAAAATTGGCAGGACAATGCAGTGCCTTTCAGCATTGAGATGCTCCTTGTGTCGTCACTGACACAGACATTTGCAGATTCAGAAAAAAAGGTAGCTGTATGTGGGTACCCCAAGCGGTATGCTCCATACTCATACCTATATTGCGACCGGTCCAGGGAAAATGTCGCACTTTTGTGCATTGTCTAAAACATCTCATCACTGTACTGAATTGAGTACATAATATTGTAGGATTATTGTATTGTTTAAGGACACACTGCTACTCAATATTAAGTAATATTCCAGTTTGCCCAATAATAACGTGTGGGTGGATGTCAAAAGAGCATTGCACGGTGTCTTGCCATGGAAAAGTTCCCTTAAACTTGATGATGATAAGTCACGCCCCTAGCCGTCACGTCTAGCGGGAATGACGTGATACATGCAAATTGACCATAAATGGTCCCCTGTGAGTATTTGCCGCTTATTTGGCGTATTAGGTGACGTAAAAACATTGCAGCAACATTGCGTTTGGTGTGAACGCACCATTAGAGTGTTGGGGGTGGGCGGCAGTCCATCCCGGCTGGGACCACCAAGAAACGGGGTCTACCCTGGACTGGTCGCCAGTCAATCTCAGGGCTGACATAGAGAAAGACATCCATTCACTCTTCCATTCACACAACTACGGGAATTTAAGTCCCAATTAACCTATCCTGAACCTTGGACTGTGGGAAGAAGTACATGCAAACTCCACACAATGCTGGGTGGGTTTGAACCCAGGACCTTCTTCTGAGGCGACCATGCTAACCACCAAACCACCACCTCCACAGTTGTGTTATTGCCCGGTTTCCAACCAACCACATTGTTTTGGGGTTAATAGTTTGAGGCGCTTTGTGTCACTTTTTGGCCAATCTGCTTTCAAATGGTGTAGCTGTAGGATGATGCTCACTTTCGCCAGTTAGTTGAAGGACAGCAAACGTAACATGTATTCATATGAAACTGACCTTTTTTGTTGTATTCAAAGAGTAAAGTAATATGTGTGGTCGTTCAAGTGTTACTTAGTTAGTTAGTAGACTAGTCACTTAGTAGACCGCTGTGCTGGAGAACAGCTGGTGCCTACAAGTTATTATTTATTTGATGCAACGTATAGCTAATTTGAATTTGATTGGCCAGGATATAGGGTGTCGTATGTAACTAACTGTGTGGTGTTATTCATGTATGATTTCATCTGTTATTTTACTGTGGGTAAAAGAGCCTTGGATAGTTTCAGACACATTAGGTATTATTTAACCCAATATCAGATCCGCCCTTTAATTCAGCTTATGTACTTTTCCCCTGTTTAGGTTTAGATAATAAGATAATAATTGTTGCAAACTGTTGAGGGGCACAAATTAAATAATATACAAATTGAACCAACTTTAGCATGATGCTTATGATGATTAAAATAAGGTTCAGTGTGAGTGGACAGAAGGTCTGTGACCTCTTGAACTGATACATGTGTGTGATAAAAAGATGTTAAGGATTTGTGAACCGGGTATTTTCCCAAGGAATTCCTGTTGTGAGGTTTTATTGTCTTAGGTATAAACGTTTCTCTTCCTGCTCCTTCAATCATGAATGACAATGCTATTTCTTGCCTTTGATGTGGAGGTAACTAGTGGGAGCTGATCCAGCCCTCCCCTATCCTGAGGAGGGGGCCACAGATGTTTGTCACCTTAGACCAGACATGGGCAAACTACGGCCCGCGGGCCACATACGGCCCGTTAGGCTTTTTAATCCGGCCCGCCGAACGTGTCCAAATTATAGTAAAAACCTTCTTTTTTTCCCCTTTCCCTGCAATGCCCACGTTTCCCCAATAGATGGCGCACTCAAAACACATTGACCGTTGTTGGAGTGGCGCGTATTTCTCTTTATTTCACTTTAATTTTCACTTCGTTTCACGTCACCATTAAGCCCTTCTGTGAAAATGAGCGGACCAAAGAGAAGGAAAGTGGACAGCGAATGCCGAGTGTTTAATAAGGAGTGGACAGCAAAATACTTCAATCCGATCAACGGCTGTATGTCTGATATGCCAAGAAGCTGTTGCGGTTTTCAAAGAGTACAATATCAGCCGTCACTTTGCCACGAAGCATGCAAACTATGCTAGCAAGCAGTCAACACAAGAACGGGCGGCTACTGCTCAGAGGTTGGCAGCTAATTTACAGAGTCAACAGAATGGTGAGTTTTTCTGCTGTGTTATGAAAAAATGCATATGGAAAGTTTGGAAGTGCGTCTTTTAATTAAGAGCAATGCGCATTTACGCACAGCAGCGGTACAGTAGCTTAATTAACACGCCGCACATCGCTCTTAATTTACATTTTCAGCTGCAGGTAGTATATTTAATACAGCCTATGTCTGTGTGCTTGGCAACAATACACGTGTACTGTTTGCGCGTGAAGACGAGGGCGTCCGTGGCGAGTTTGTAGAGCGCGCGGTCAGGACAATCCATCCATGATTTTGCGGAGTTTAACACAAGTAGATATTATTGAGCTTGAGTATTTCGTTGTGTAATAATATGTTTTGAATGTTGAAAGTGATTCCATTTTTCAATAAATGTTGATTTCTTTAACTTTGCACCTTCGATTGAAACTTATTAAAAACAGACGCAATCTTGATAAATCACAGTGCGTATGTTATTTTAATCTATTTACATTTCCTCCTCCCAGTATCTGCGAAATAGTATGTAAATGCCATATCTTGCATATTCCTTGAGACAAATTTATTAACTGATAAGGGCTATTTTTCACATTTGAAAGACAGTTAATAAATTGGGTTGTAGTGTTCTTACTGTGCTATGAGGTTTACACACACTACATTTAATGCTTTAGTATATCCGGCCCAAACACTCCCTCCAAATGCTCCTGGCCCGGCCCCTCTGTCAAATTTTAGAACCCATTGTGGCCCGCGAGTCAAAAAGTTTGCCCACCCCTGCCTTAGACTATATAACTTGAAGCCGAAGGAAGAATTCTTTGAGTAGCCTTGATGCATGTCGTGTGTGTCAACTCTGCTTCATGCTTGCAAGTATTTCATGAATGTCCTGTTCAATGAATTCACACTGGTGTTGAGTAAAAAAAAACATACTTATATAATGTCTGTTTTGTAGTTTGTGCAGACCGATTAAGTGTACCTGTACAAACAGTGGTATGGTCTGCATGCTGGCAATCTCTCCTCTGTTCATGGGGTCTCTGGCTAGAATGTGAAGCGCTCCTGTGCAGCCCTCCACTATTTCCTCCATACGAACACCATCCTGGGAATAGAGACCGACAGAAACAGATAGGTGTCAAAGAAAGCCCTAAGGAAGGGGCCATTCAAGTATGTATGTATGACTATCTGAGTGCTGACTACAAAGTCAGGCCTATAGCTAACATCTAACTTGAAAAAAGTGTAAACGTAGGAAAACATTTGTGTTATAAAACAAAAACGTAGTGGTGTAGACGTAAGAAGGAACATGAAGTGTTTAGCTACATGCAGCTAGTGCAGATAACTGTGGTTTGTATTTATTCAATTTATTTAATGGTGTGTTTTCAATTATTGAAGACACACCAGGTGGAAGACAAAAGCAAAAATGACGCCGTTTTTCAGACATGTTTGTGGACATTCTGATAGCCATTAGTATAATATATGTTCAAGCACACAGCACCTATATGTGTGTGTTTACTTTCACAAGGTCCAGACCTGGTATGTCTGCTGTGCAGAGGAGTCATGTTTCTGTGTGTCCTCGTGAGCCTTCAGCAGTAGGTTGACCAATCGCGGAATAGCACTTGCCTCCCTCAGTGGCGTCTGATTGGCCGGGCACAGTGCCAGGTTCCGGGTCAGACCAACTGCAGCCTGAGGAGAGGACAGAGATCAAACATTGTTCTTAACACGGGTAGTCCAGAATCTATTTGGGTCAGCATTACATGGCATTTGGCAAGAGTTATATGTGTATCAATTAAGTCACAAAGACCTACAGGTAAAATTTCGCCATGACCAGCAAAGATGAAAAGCTGGACCAATATGTTTTTTTTTCCAATTTGCAGACAACATCATTAAACGTCAATATATCAGTTCATTATTATAATCAGCCTGAGTTAGCAGGGCTGTCTCACTGAGAGAGAACAGAGTGAGTGAATGAGTGATTGTGTGTGTGTGTGTGTGTGTCTGCAACAGTGGGGGACAGAATGGAAGGAGCCCATTTCACTCAAATAGGTAATAAAGTTAAAAAGAGGAATTGAGCACAGTCGTAAAACTACGAGTGCTAGTACAATTTAGTTTATTTCTTTTTTTAATTAGTGTTGTTGTAGTTCAGATTGTGTTGATATTTCTAAATACCAGTTAATGTTTCTATGAACGAGAATCATTTTAGTTCGAGCCTGCTCTTTTTCCTCTGTGCCACCCTTTGTGCCAGTGTGCTGAATGAGCATGAATGAGCCACACATTGTGAGGTGAAATGTGGATAACTCATATTAATCCCCCAAATTGCATCTTTTTTTCAAGATGTATGTCTAGAAAGGAAACCAGTGAGGTTTGGTGTGAGAGCCGCCGATTTTGTAGGTAACTCAGGGCTGATTTATTTAGTGGAACAGGACTAGAGTCAACCACCCCACTACACTGACACAGTAAACCACCAGATCCTAATTTCCTCCTTTCAGGAACTTGGTGCTCCGCTCTCTCCCTTTTCTCACCTTTGACGGACGCGCTTACCAGGTGACTTGCAGCAGATCTGTATCGGAACCTTGTCCACTTACTACTGGAGTTCCTCAAGGTTCGGTCCTGGGTCCACTCCTGTTCTCGCTCTACAGCAACTCTCTTGGCTCTGTCATTCGCTCGCATGGCTTCTCCTACCACAGCTATGCCGATGACACACAACTTATTCTCTCCTCCCTCACTCGGACACTCAGGGGGCGGCACGGATCTCTGCTCTATAACATCAGGAGAATAGGTCCCCTTCTCACTCAGAAGTCGGCCCAGGTACTGATTCAGGCTCTTGTCATCTCCCGCCTTGACTATTGTAACTCTCTCCTGGCAGGTCTACCGCCATTCAACCTCTGCAGCTCATCCAGAATGCAGAAGCTCGACTGGTCCTTAACCTTCCGAAATTATCCCACACTACTCCACTCCTCTGCTCTCTTCACTGGCTACCAGTGACTGCCCACATCTACTTCAAAACATTGGTACTCACGTACCGTGCTGTGAATGGATCGGGTCAAGTCTACATCCAGGACATGGTCAAACCCTACATCCCAAACCGCACACTCCGCTCTGCTTCTAACAAACTGCTTTTTCCTCCCTCACTGAGAGCAAAACACTCGACAAGATCAGGAGTCTTTGCTGTGCCGGCTCCTAAATGGTGCAATGAGGGTTTCTGACGACACAAGGAGTCTTTACATCTTCCGCCGCAAACTAAAGACACACCTCTTCAGACTATACCTTTGACTAAAAAAACTAAACAAAATGTAGGACTTAAATTGTACTTGTAGGACTTAAATGGTCTTATTTGATGAAATTGCACTTTCTTGTTTCCTGTTCTTCTGGGTTTGTATCCTTATGGTTGAAATGCACTTATTGTAAGTCACTTTGGTAAAAGCATCAGCTAAATGACCTGTAATGTAAAAGATCTGTGACATTGTATTGCACGAGGGATGTAGCTCAGCATACTTACACACTAAGCTGCTGATGTTTAGCTAGAACTATTTAACCGTTTGAGCAGGCATAATGAAAAGTATTGGTCAAATTGATCCGTATGATGATGCAAGACTTTAAGGTAAGGATCAGCAATCTTCCTGATGGTTGGCAATATATTTTACTGAAGAACAAAATTGTCAACCTCATCATCACACTAGATGAAAAGACCTTAGGATTCATAACTTGGGTATGAATGTTAGGATTTGTTATTGTTTGGTCACACATCAAGAATTCATCTTCAGTGCAGCACATACAGTAGCTTCCAGCCAAATACTGGTCAAAGTCTCCCAGGTTCAAAGCATATACATCACATATACAGTGCATATCGGAAAGTATTCACAGCGCTTCACTTTTTCCACATTTTGTTGTGGCACGAGTTGGGCTCAGATGCTGTTTGAGGGTTTTATAAGTATTTTGTTTGATATAAGTGACACTTTAAACTGTCAACAAATGCTATGATAATGGCGACCATATCTGCATAGATGTTGCGTCTCGGCATCTACAGTGCATCCGGAAAGTATTCACAGCGCTTCACTTTTTCCCCATTTTGTTATGTTACAGCCTTATTCCAAAATGGATTAAATTCATTATGTTCCTCAACATTCTTCACACAACCCATAATGACAAAGTGACAACTGTTTTTTGCAAATTTTTGCAAATCTATTAAAAATAAAGAACGAAAGCACAGCCTTTGCCATGACACTCAAAATTTAGCTCAGGTGCATCCTGTTTTCACTGATCATCCTTGAGATGTTTCTACAACTTGATTGGAGTCCACCTGTGCTAAATTCAGTTGATTGGACATGATTGAGAAAGGCACACACCTGTCTATATAAGGTATCACAGTTGACAGTGCATATCAGAACATAAACCAAGCCATGAGGTCCAAGGAATTATTTGTAGACCTCTGAGAGAATTGTATCAAGACCAATAAAGCATCTAATAAATACATGGATTCTTATATGAATAAAACTATTGTTTTTCAGGTTTGAATTGTGTCCTTGTTTGTGTATTTCAATTCTCTGTACATTGGGAAGAAGTGGAACAAACCCTTATCTATGTCTTTCTGCACCTTTGTGCATGTATGAAAAAGTGAAGCGCTGTGAATACTTTCCGGATGCAATGTACATGCCGAGACGCAACATCTATGCAGATATGGTCGCCATTATCATAGCATTTGTTGACAGTTTAAAGTGTCACTTATATCAAACAAAATACTCAAACCCTCAAACAGCATCTGAGCCCAACTCGTGCCGCACCTTTGAATTTGTGAGAGCAATCTATGAAATGATAACCTTAAGTACACTAATGAATTAGAGCATGTGCAATCTGTTTGCTTTCCGTGCCAGACTGACCCATCAGGGGAAGCAGTGCACAGAACAGATGAAGTGTGAAAGTTGACATTTTAACTAGAACATTAAGTGTAACATCGGAATGCCATTACAAATCCTATTAGACTTAGTGAAAAAACCTTAGTGTCTTCTGGATCAGCATATCTAATACCGTGTAGCAGACCCAAGTCTGCAGACTTGCCTTTTTTCCACCTGACAAAAAAGAAGGCGTGGCATGGAAGGCTATGAAATTGGACACACCTGAGGTTGGAGGAGCAATGGAGGGTAGAGTTGAGAGAGGAAAAAGGACAACAAAAACTTTTCTGGACCTCAGGTGCCCTACAAGAGAGATAAATAAAAGGAACTGCTCGACACTGCCAGATAGAGGGAACCGGCCGGAATGAACTTTGGACCGCCCTGGCTGGACGGTGGGCTCCCTCGCTGTCGTTGATCAGGTCAGATAAATCCCCTCAGCATGCAGAGAGACAAACACACATAGTGAGGTGGCATGATACGTGTCTATTGTAGTAGAGGTGATTCCTGCGTCCACAAACAAAATGGATAAAATCAGAATGGAAACAACGGCCGACGCCGAACTGCGTTCAATTGTTAGGCTCATGAAGAAAGGATGGCCTGGACACATAAGTAATGTGTCCATGAATGTGAGAGAGTACAATAATAATAATAATCCGAGTAAAATAAGAGCTATCAGAACACAATTGCCTGGTCGTCAGGAAACAGGATTGTTGTGCCGAGGTCGAAGAGAATACCAGGGCACCCGGGCCTAGTCAAATGTAGGGAGAGAATGTGCTCATCTGGGTGGTGGACTGGACTCTCCATGGAGATAGACAAACTTGTGACGTCCTGTCAGGTGTACTAAAAAGAAGACAATAAAAGGAACCTCTCAACATCCCACGGCTTCCCGGAGCAACCCCAGAAGAGAATAGCAATGGACCTTTTGTGAGCGTAATCACCATAACTAAAATTAAAAAGGCTCACTACTTCCACCGCCGTCATGGAGCCAGGCCGCTACCTGACATGCAACCAGGACCACCACACTCATGGTCTTTGCCAGCGATCTCAAGCGAGAGCACCACTGCGAGATCCATTGTCATCAAGACACAGGATGGAACAGCCGCCACCTCCAACCAGTGCCAGTTCCAGGAGAGAAAGTTCTACAGCCATTGATGTTGTTATATGTATATATATGATATTGATTGGTATAAGACCAGTGTACGTTGAAATTGTCTAATGTCTTAATTTGAGTTCATCTTAGTTCATGCTATGCAATGTTCATATTTTCAGAAAGAGTTTAATAGTCACAAGATCCAAAATCCAACTCAAAAAATGCCATAGGGCAAAAACGCAGGCGGGGACCAGGAACAAGACACCACAGGATTCGCAAACCTGCAGACACTACATCCGACATTTAACAGTTAACCTCCAACAATGACGCGGCGAGAGACAAGAGACACACATGGCTTAAATACACAGGGAAGGTGCAGGTGATTGGACACAGATGGAAACAAGCACGACACGGCAGATAATCACAGGGAATGACAAGGCAGGAAGTGAAGTTACCAGGGACACAGGCGGAGAGGCAGAAAACTACAAAATAAAACAGGACGTGAACCCAAAGCGTGACAATAGGGGAGGTTTAGTCTCCCTCATTGTGCAGCATAATGAAGCAATCTATGTTTCTTCATTACGCTTCTTCATTACGCTGCTTTTTCAGAAAACCAAAGCTATTTTTTTCCGAGTAGATGACTTGGCATGCTCCACCGACAAAAAAACGATGGGTTGCAAAATTCAAATTGTGATGCTCCTCATCACAGTCCCGCCAAGTCAATGCATCAGAAAAATCATTTTTGTATTTGTCTATAGAACAAATAAAACATTACAAAATATCATCACCATCATCATTTTGTTGTTATTTCAGGCATCCTTTTTGTCTGTCACTGCAATCAAATCACAACAAAAATATTTATTTTGGGCTCATACTGCTGTAATAAAGCACAGGGATTACACCTCCAAAAAAGTGTCATGAACCCAGACAGGAAGGTGTTTAGTTTCCGGGATTTTTGAGATTCCCACAAGTAGTGGAAATGAATGGCTGTGTTGGTAACGGCTTCAATGGAGTTCAGCCACTCCTATCCTTTACATCTAGTTTGTATGAAGGGATATGCATGTGTACAGACTGTAAAGCTGCACGAGGAACATTTGTAATTTGTGATTTTGGGCTATACAAAAGAAGTTGGATGGAATTTTAGGTAAAGGATCTTTGAAAAAGGCTCCTTTAGGAGCCATTTGGGTGTTCTTGCTTAATTCTGGCCCTGTTCTCCTTTGGTATTCCTAGATCCCTGGTGTCTAGGGTGCTAGATCCTTAGAATGCCTTTGACACTAGTCATTTTTCCCTACAATGACCTTTTAAAATTGATTCTGTGAAATGGCTTGTTACATGTTCAAATTACATAATACCTAACCATAACCTCTGCTTCAACGAGCTACCCAGTGATTTTTATTTAAAAAGAACAGTGGGATTCAAAATATAGCCTTCATTTTATGTCAATAGTATACAAACCACTGCCTCCAATCACCTTCACCACAGGCCAGTAGTGCGGCTGTCCCAGCAACTTGACGACCGCTGGGATACCAGAGTGCAGCCGCACAGCATTCTGCGCCAGCTCAGCGTCCTGATGGCGAGAGGTTAGATGACGCAGGGCGCAGACTGCTGGCTCAGCAACATCCTCCTTTTTCCCGGCACGAAGCACAGCATGGATCAGCGCTTCCACTCCGCCATACTGAGTTACCAGAGTCTGAGGGTTTTCGGGGAGAAGACAATAGACTAAAATAGCTCATCTGCAATGCTAGTGTTCCCCAAGACTTAATTTAAAAGATCATAAAGTATAAAACAACAGTTAATAAACAGATATATAGTTACTGCATGTACATAAGTGAGTCCAGGCTTATATATTTGTTTTGCGCTGACAGCGTGCAGCGCTGTTGTTGCGTTTGGTTGCTGCTACTACTCGTTCACCCGGTTCTCTCTTTCCCCCCCTATACCGGCCGTTCTTCGGGGGCTAGGGGGCAGGGGGAGGTAAATCCCCATGACTTAAAGTTGAAAAGCAGGTCAGAAAAGTAGGGGCAACCCTGATTTAAAGCTTCAAACATAAAAGAAAAGGTCTGGACAGAGTCTCTGGTGTCAATAATCAGTGAAACGCTGGATCACTGTTAGACGACAGTAAGCAGGGCTTATCACGCCGTCCGTCGTGCTGCGCTGGGACAATCTGACCACGTCATGATCCACTTCCAATTGCAGAATATAGGCAGAAACTAAAGCTCTGCAAATCTGTGGTGAGGGAATTCAAGAAGTGACCAGTGAGGCGCTGGAGGATCTTCAGGCGTGCTTGGACTGCACAGACTGGGCTGTTTTCAGGACTGCTACTAACAGTCTGGATGAGTTCAGAGACTGTAACTTCATACATTGCATACATCACACCATGAGGACAGCTGTGTACCATCATGCACCAGGGTAAGTTTCAACAACGACAAACACTGGTTCACAGCGGAACTCCGAAAACTACGTCGGCAGAAGGATCAGGCATTTAGGAGTGGGGAGAAAGACTCACACAACTCCACAGAATCAAAATACAAGGTTAGTAAGGCGGTGAGAGATGCAAAACTGCTGTACTCTGAGAAACTCCAACAATAGTTCTCAGCAAGTGACTGCCTCGGTTTGGAGAGGCTTTAAACACCTCACAAATTCCAAGCCAAAAAAACACACACTCCTCCGCCTGGCAGACGAGCTGAATGAGTTCTACTGCAGATTTGATAGACAATGTCCTGACTCCATCTCCCACAGTTCCACCAACCTCCCCCAGCCCATCAAGGGCTCAAGCCTAGTTTATGCTTCTGCGTTTTCAGAGAGACGCAAGAGCCCCTTGCGTGTCCCTTGTGTGCCTTTTTCCCATCTCCTTCATCCGCGATGAAAAGCAGCAGTGGCAATGCACGGGCCAATAAAGGCTCTGGTAATTAAATAAACAAACCAACAACTTCCACACGCAAAGACGTGACTCTAGGTCGTATTCAACAAAAAACGTTACTCCACCTATTGTTCCGGCGGTGAATTGCTCTGCAACACTCGCAAGCCTTTTAGAACCATGAATTGAAACGAATGCGTCGACACAGCTGCGTATGAAGACGAAGACGCAAACGCATGCCCCAGCCTTTACGGCTCTGTATCACCTTCCCCTTCCCCACCCCCCTGACCAGCAACAGCCCTCTATTCGGGAGAGAGACGTTAACCGGCTCTTTAAAAGACAAAACCCCCGTAAAGGAGCCGGCCTGGACTCCGTCTCTCCCCGCACCCTAAAGCATTGTGCTAACCAGCTGTCTCCGCTGTTCACTGTAATCTTCAACACCAAAATGGGAGGAAGAAAGAGATCCAGTACGTCATGGACCTGCGAGCAAAGCCCCACACACTGGGTAGGATGTCACGTGAGAATTTGCTCCAGGCCCACGAACGGCAACAACGGCTGTACGACAGAGGAGCCAGGCGGCGAGAATTCACACCGGGAGAAAAGGTGCTTGTATTACTTCTTCCAACTCCAAACTCCTGGCTAAGTGGCAAGGGCCCTTTGAGGTCACACGGCAGGTGGGGGATATCGACTATGACGTGGTGCGGTCTGACAGGGGCAGAGCTTTGCAAATATACTACCTAAACCTCCTGAAAGCCGGGAAGAAGGCGGAGTCTGTTTCGCTGGTGTCCGCGGTATCGGAAAGAGGACCTGGGCCGGGGATGCCAAAATCTGTTAATCCCACCTCGCTCCCTTGCGAGGCCCGTCTCTACGAGGACCAGAGAACAGACATTACCCAGTTGCAAGAGCAGTTTGCAGACGTGTTCTCCCCCCTGCCAGGCCGGACTGACCTAATAGTTCACAGAATCGAGACTCCTCCGGGGGTGACAGTAAGGTCACGACCCTATAAGATGCCTGAACACAAAAGAAAAGTGGTTCAGGGGGAATTGGCTGCAATGTTGGAGATGGGGGTAATAGAAGTGTCCAACAGCGCCTGGTGTAGCCCCATCGTTCTTGTGGCTAAGAAGGATGGGTCGGTATGGTTCTGTGTGGACTATCGCAGGGATTGTCACGATTTGACCGTCCCGTGCTATACATCAGCCGGAATCCAGGTCAGGTACAGCACGGTGGAGAAGGAGGGCCTGGCCATCCGATGGGCGGAGGACTCCCTGCGCTACTACTATGGTCGTGGCAGACTTCCTCTCCCGCCCTCTTGAGGGAGGGAGCAGGGAGTAGGTAAGGCCGGAGGGCTCCCCGGTGTAAGTCGGGCGGTGGGGGGAGAGAGGGGGAGTGGCTCAGGGAACGGTGCCAGGTGGAGGCAATTGGCCTCAGCTGCCGAAAATGACATTTGTGTTTGTCTCCAGTATTTAATGCAGTGGGGCGATCCGGCAAGAGACAGACAGGAGAGCTGGACGCCGGGAGCCCACGGAGCATTCCGACCGACAATCCTACCGTGTTTATCCTTCTTTCCAGCCCCCCCAAGGACCCAGTTTGTTACTCTTCTATTGTCCAATTTGGGTGAGCTTGTGTGAATTGTAGTCAGTTTCCTGTTCTTAGCTGACAGGAGTGGTCTTCTGCTGCTGTAGCCCACCTTCTTCAAGGTCCTGCGTGTTGTGCGTTCAGAGATGATATTCTGCATTCCTTGGTTATAACGAGTGGTTATTTCAGTTAATGTAGCCTTTTTTTTATCACCTCGAACCAGTTTTCCCGTTGTCCTCTGACATCTCACATTAATCACAGTTCAAACGACTGGCTCACTTAATATATTCTCTTTTTCGGACCATTCTCCGTAAACTCTAGATCCCAGTAGATCAGCAGTTTCTGACATACTCAGACCAGCCTGTCTGACACCAACAACCATGCCATGCAATTGAACAGGTGTAAATAAAGTTTCTGGTGAGCGTATATTTATATTGCAAAGGCTTCGAGCGACACTGTCAAAATGTCATGCAAAATGTTTTAGTTCATTATCTAATCTCTTTATGTCCCAGAAAGTAAATATCTCTATTTAGTCATCTCCTACCGATGGCTGCATTGTATGGGACAAATTGTGATTTGAATTTAATCAGACAGAAGAGTTAACATTGCTGTGGCAGTAGATTAATGCCAACGGTTTGTGAATCACATAATTAACTGTCGCAAACAACAAAAAACTTCTATTGCTCAATGGTTACCTTGTTGCGTGAATTATTACAGGTGAGGTTGGACAGGATCCCAGTTGCACATGTCACCATGTTGACGTCGTCTGAGCCCAGCTGGGTGACCAATATCTGCAGCAGACCGTCTAAACCATCCTAAACAGACAGGGGTGATTTACTGTCTGATTTACTGGGGGAAAGATTATATACAGTGCATACACTGTGTTTACAGAGAAATGGAGTTACGCAGTCTTAGCTTATTTCTCGCTCTACTGATATGAGCTGCTCTGTTGTTATCATTGTTGAGCTGAAAGAACTGTGTGAAACACAACAGCACTGTTGTTTTGTAAGGAAATTGGGTGAAGTCCAATTGGCTAATTCATCCATTGTAAAAATCCATATGCATTCAGTGCACTGTATTACAGCGGTTATGTAAAATGCATACTTTTGTACAATACAGCACACCTGTAATGTGCTACAGGAGTTTTTTTGTATGGTTTATGGACGTGGGTGTGTCATACCCACTGCCATTGGAAATGTGCCGATTTTTATATTACAGAGGGTTGTGGGACAAAGTTTGTACAATTGTGTACATGGTGTGAATAACAAATTGTTTGTTTCTATATTCCAACCATATATTCATGTTATAATCATCTCTATGGAGATGTAGAGAAGTGGGGGGGGGGGCATGACCAGTGTTAGCATATCTAAAAGGGCGGGGAGGTTAGTGGGGGAAACATCAGGAAAATAGTTACGCAGTTAGGACAGAGGGGGAGAGTTTCGCTTAATCAAATGTTCATAGAAATGTACAAGCAGTTTCATCACCTAGTTAGTCTTTCCGGAAGGAGCTTGGTTTAATCAAGTGCGTGCCGCTCCAATAAATCTCTGCTAATTGAAAGATCTGAATCTCAAGTGTGTTGTGTGTGTGTATGAGTTACTGAAAGTCCACAATTTAGAATATTTAGAAGATAGTTAAAACTGCGAAGAATGAATCCACAACAACGGTTAAACCTGATTGGTGATGGCCCTTTCTAACTCTGCCATAGCCATCCCTAAAGAAGTTGTAGTAGGTGAATAAATACGTACCTGTTTAGTTGCAGCATCGGATAGATTGCGCAGCGTCCACAGACAGTTCTGGATTAGGCGCTGACTGGAAGCTGTAAGATGTTGGCCCAAAGCTTGCATCCCACCTGGATATATGTAAATGGATGTATGCAAAATATACACTGAAAGTTACACATTCTATGTTTCATACTATGTGTTTGGACATGTTAATGATTGACATTTAATTTCTACTACATGCATAGCATCATTCAAAATAAACCTGTGCAATCACACTGAACATATAGGTTATGCTTTGTAAAAAATGCTTCATTAGATTTTGGAAAAGATCAAGGTTTGGATTGAATTTGTATAGTTGATAGGTAACGCTAATTTATTCATTTTACTTAAGTATGCAAATTACACTTCTACCTGCCAAACTGTCCTATGGGAAAGTTTCTACTACATCAGCTACTGACTGGTAATGAACTGTATGGTTTACATTTGATTTAGTGGACAGCTTGGAAAGTGATGACATCTGATAAGTTAGGAGCAAGAACATTTTGTGATGTAGACATACCAGCCTCTACTATTGCTGGCTTGTTGCTGGGACAGACAGACAGCACTTTGAGAACGCGACTGGTAGTCCATAGCAGCTTCTCATAGTTATAGTTCCTTGTGATGAACACGAGACTCTCTGGGGCGCCATTGGCTAGGATGATCAGCTGAAAATAAACAGGAAGTAGGAAGTGCAATTATGTAACAAGGTCAAACAAAAGAGATCTCCTCCCCAATGTCAAGGACCTCACCTTGCTCTCCTGGTTGCCGTAGGAGAGGAGCTGCAGACAATCAGTGGTGATGGCCAGGAACTTGGGGTTACTCTTTTTCAGTAAAGGAACCATCCTCTGCAGTCCATCAGCAAGACGCACCGCCATCTTAGCCCCCTCTTGGTGCAGCAGCATGTTGTGGAGTGTTGTGATGGCATAAAATAAGACTGATTCTACTGGTGAGCTGTATTAGTAATGGAGGAAGATGGAGAGAAAAGGATTTAAAGATATAAGATGAAAAAATGTTAAAAGGAAATCTCTAACACACCCTAATTGATTTGATCAACATCTAATATAATTGAGCGACTGACTTTTCTTTTTCCATTGTCACTACAGCAAAGGTCAAAAGACTGAAAGAGGTGTCATTTGATCACTAGGGTTAATGTACAGATCATGTCTTTGCCCTGGTAGCAACGTTTCTCAAGGAACCACAATCGCATTTTTTTGTCTGTAGGACATCAGTGTTCAGTCTTCTACTTTCGGGGTGGGTCCGTTCTTTCGGTCGCAACCCAGAGTTTGTGACCATAGGTGAGGGCTTCTCTCAAAGAAGACCATGGAACTTGTTAGGAATTGGAGTAGAAAAAGGATCATTCGTGGTAGAAATTATAGTATTTATGTTATTATTTGAATAATTTTTGTAATGAATTGAACGGATTGTACGTCATTCAAATCTCTACACATAACATTGTTGAGGTAAAAACATTTCATGCTTTTTTACTAATCTGCAAGTCCCAGAATGCACTTCCAGCAGGCCATTGCAGGTTGCTCATCATTTCAAATCAGAACACCTGTCAATAGCAAGTCTCAGCAAACATCTCAGCAAGGAGAGGAGCTAAAAAATCAACTCATGGTACATCTAAAAGAAGCCACCGGTATAGTAACTCATAGTGAGGAATATTTGTTTTGAAGTCATGTGTAATTTGTTTACATTTTTTGTATGCTTATGCTTTTGGGTTTTTGAAGGTTTTTAAACTGAGCCAACCAGACAAATGAAAGAAAATAAACATTAATCAGAGTCCCGTGTGTCCTTTGTGGTAGTAGGCCATTTCAAGTTGGGCCAGAGTTTAAAGAAAAATTTGAGAACCATGCTATGGTACCGGAGTACAGGAGAACCCAAACGCACGACTCGGACACGATGGACAAGACTGAGGGGTTTTAATGAAAGTTCAGGCTGGGTCCAAAACCGGGAGATCCGTCGGGAGGCAAACAATTCCAGAGGGGCAGGCAGGTAATCCGCAGACGAGGACAGGCAGGGTCAGAACCAGGATGACAAACAGACAGGCAGATAAATCCGAAACGGGGCAGGCAGGTAAATCGGGGTCGAGGAACAGTCAAGGTCAGGATCGAGGTAGGCAGGATAAATAGGGACACGCTGGAAAATTTGGTTAAACACACGAGACAATCTGGCAGTGAGCAACAGAATGTGACGGGCTTGAATAGTGAGTGACTGACGAGGGGAGGCACCACAGGTGAGGGTGAGGAGAACCAGGTGCAGGAAATCAGGTGACGAGGTAGGAGGATCTGAAATGACAGGAGTTAGTGAACATGCAGTGAAGATGAAAAATAAACTGATGTGGGCGTATGTGTAACAGAACTCCCCCCTCTAGGGACGGCTCTCGACGTCCCCCTGGGCTGGTCCGGGTGTGCTCTGTGAAAGTCCCTGATCAGGGAAGGGTCTAGTATGTGGCGCGACGGGACCCACAAGCGCTCCTCTGGGTCGTACCCCTCTCTGTCCACCAGATACTGAAGCCCCCTGCCCCGTCGACGAGACTTGAGCAGGCGCCGGACCGTGTAAGTTGGGCCCCCGTCAATGAGCTGGGGGGGAGGAGGGGGTCTGGGGGAGGGTTGAAGTGGACTCTCCAGGACAGGTTTCAGCCTGGAGACATGAAAGGTGGGGTGGACCTTCATGGCCCGCGGCAACCGGAGTCCGCTGCAGGGTTGACGACCCTGGAAACGAGAAAAGGACCCACAAATCGAGCCGCCAACTTCTTAGACTCCACTCTAAGTGGGAGGTCCAGGGCGGACAACCAGACTCGTTGTCTCGGGGCGTAGCTGGGTGCCGGGGTTCGAAGTCTATTAGCCGACCGTGATACTGGT